TCTGGACAGACTAAAATTAACTCGTCGTAAGTTCTCATGGAGGTGTGATGTGCAAAAGATAGAGACTTTTAGGCTATTGCTGCATACTGTTTTATCATTAGTGCAAATTTATGGCAGAGAACAATGAAAATATTAACCGACTTTTCTAACCCTATTTCCATACGTTTACCATTTATTTGTTCTTGCGACAGATGGAGAAATACAATAATTTAAGCAATGAGTGACAAAGCTTATGATTACAGGTTTATTTTGTGTATTGTGACATGAAGAAATAGTACAGATTAATAATATGAAAATATTGCACGCTGATGTATACCTTTCAAAAATGAAATATTTTTTATATTTTTATCAAAAACCACAAAGAAGAACGGATGATCAGCCATAACTGAACTGAGTGGTCACCATTGCGGCGTGTGCTTCTCAAAGTCGCATTGGAAGCTTCTTCAACTTTACCTTCATCCTCCACAAGCACTTCTCCTTTCAGGTCGCGGAGGCAGACAGTACTTGCAAAGTTCCCGATCCTGTGCCAGAGTCTGAGTTTCGGTAGAAGAAAACCGGAGTGTGGAACAGACTACCAACAGTTCTTTTGATTGTGAGACATGAGCATGAAGAACGACTCTGCGAAGAGTGCAGCAGATAGTTGTTCAAAGAAGGATGCCAGAAACCGTCATATGGGACAAGATGCTAACTGGAAAAGTAAGAAGAAGCACAGGAATGTTAAACGTAATACCAGTTTCACAAGAAAGAAAATGACAATGGGAGGTCACATACTACGACTGACGGATAATCGATGAACTATGGCAGTGACAGATTGATATCCAAGAAGCTGCAATCGTGCAATTATAAGATCTTGTTTTGGAGGGACGATGAATAGAAGAAAGTTATTGAAGATGGCGGTGACAAATCGTACGAGATAGAATATGGTGGCCATCGAGACTAGACAGTGGTGATACTCATTAATCACGAAGATGGATCAATTAATTATTAATTAAATAGACAAAAAATGTTATTCTTCGATCAGAAAATTGATCGATTGAAGCCATGCTGAATTTCCTATCACAATGAGATAACCGTTACCGGGTTAAGGCTATGAACAATATTCTCTGCTTATGTCAGGATAGTATTTTTCTTGCATAGAATTTATTCTTTTGCTGCCTGGCAAATGCTATTCGTCGTTCCCAGATAAAACATTGGTTGTTTATTAATTTTACACCCATAATAGAAAGTGAGGCTCCTGTCCGTTTGCTGATGATTACCTCGATACTTTCATGACTGATGACATTCGCCGCACCTTTCTTTTGTGAATTCATTGTGTCCATGAATCCGTCATCAGTGGCTTACCATTCAAACACGATGCCCTCTACTACCAGATGACCATCAGGAAGACTGCCTTGTGTTCTTTTCCATGAACGTCGGTCAATCAACGAGTTAGTTCATTGGTCGGTAGATCCGCCAGTAGTTCATTTCATTCTTGCGTTCATTTATTCCGTTATTCATCCGATCTTTCATTCACTATTCATTGATCAGTTTTGTCATATTGGATCAGTACTGTCTTTTCTGGTACAGTCAGCTTAACGGTAAAACGATATGCAGCGGAAGTATGATGCTTTTCGGTTGTCAGGTTTCCATTTTCTAACAGTATCAAAAGTCATAATGTGTTTTGCAGAGCAGAACTCAAATTCCTGATCTAATTCCTGCTCTTATGGAAATCTATGTTGTCCGTTGTAGCTCAATTTCCCACGTTTCTTCATCGAAAGCCTCCTTACGTTCTGCTGAATTTTCTGAAGCCATTTGGAAAATTAATCGTTCTGTCGTGGATGACTGGCAAACTGTCCCGCACGGTTAGAGCAGCTGATGATGTTGTCTTTCTTGCTGACTTAATGAATACCAAATATGTCCAATCGTTTAGCCATGAACCCCTGCACCAATGACGCAGAGTAATTTTACGACTTATAATTATTATTATTACTTATTGTTACGAGTTACTTTATTACAGCATGGCTTTCAGTGCTCATCGCTGGATTGGCATTCGGTTTTTAATGACTGTTAAGCGATCGTCTGCACATGGCTTTCTAATTATTCAAATGAATATGTGGTTTAAAGAAACTTAGTTACTTTGGAGCTCTGTTTTGATGTAATGTCATCAAAGTCGTTACAGTCTAGGAGAACGCTTGTACCGTGCAACTGATGAACAGTAAGCATCGTTGCTCTGCTGGTTTTACACCAGCCATGGATCATATGCATGGGATTGTTTTAAAACTTGACCCGGAACCGAAGGCGCTTTGAATAGTTTATCATGAACTAGGTTTTATTAGAACTTTGAGTGGCAGATAACGAAGCTGTACAACAAGCGAGTAAAGGTGTTCTACAGACGGAATTTATGACATTTGTTTTCTATCATTTACCACTGGTACAAAACACGAGTTCATCATTATGCGACCCCGGCCTTCCATGTAAGATTTCACACTGCCAAGGCTTGGCAACGGCGAGAATCTCGAGCACAGGTATCTGCCTTTCCACAGGATCGCTGCCATCAGTGCAATCAACGTGAGCAGCAGCGACACAAAAGTACTAATCATCACAGCGACGGTCGTTTGGTTAAGACACACTCGGTTGATGCGATCTCGCTGTTCTGACGGGTCATCTGAAAGAAAGGCACTTTGTCGATAAAAATCATAATGATCTTCAAACGTCCAATAAGAAACATTCCGTTAGCACCCAAACAAGTAAATACATTAGAATAATAATGGAACTGTAAGTTAGTCTGTAAGTACGATCTGGATACACATGATATCTTCCTATGTCCAATGAAGCGAGTGTAGTCTTGACAACCTCCAACAACGAGGTCTGCGAAACATGCTCAAAATGCGATGCTGTCAGCGGGTCGAAAACGAACATTGCTGATGACCAGTGGTCAGATTACTGTCAGAATAATTCAGAAGTTGGCACCTTCCAAGGATTCAAATGATACAATGTACTGTTCGTCTTGAGCAAGGTGCTAAATCATGTCAAATATGCCATGTAGCTAAGTCATGAGGCAAAACAAACTGCTGACTCTCACATTTTCTGTTGGCTGACAATTCGACGGCTCTTCATTTGTTCATGATTGCTGCATAAGCCGTACTTCATTTATTTGCGGCTGTGATGCGAGGATGAATATACAGAGAAAAATTCCGTGTCCTAAACGGCGTAGAAGCGTGCTTTAGGCGTTCTGTATAAGACTCATTGATTCATATTAGCTCGTTCCACTTTTCACTAATGGGTAGTAATAAATCCAACACATCTTACCGTATTCATTAATGGTATCGTCGATGTCGGCAACGAACACAGTCTCTGAGCTGACATTCAGTACCATTGCGTGATCGGAAGGACCGTGCTTGGTCAGAGCGGGAGCGAGACGATTGGCGCTTCTCTCGCTCCTCCGTGACTCATCATTTCGTCTTTCCTCTGAGTCCATTTTCAGATTCGAGAGCTCGATATCATTTGTAACGTCTCGCTTGTGCACCTTCTCCTGCGCCACCACTCGCGACTGGTGAGAATTATTCACATCGTTTTTCGGTCCTGCAATGCTGGCGTCCTCCGGAATGCTTTTGTTATTCTCGTCCTTGACGAAATCTGCCTGCGAGCCGTATATGCCCGAATAGCCGTACGGTTGTGCGTACAGACGCGTCGCCGGTGGTATGTACACACTGGTTGGCGTTGGTCTGTAGGGATCTATAGGACGCAGCGGTTCTATCGGCCTATAAGGTTCAACCGGTCTCTGTGGCACCAACGGTCTATACGGATCGACTGGTCTGAAAGGTTCGATAGTTCGGTACGGTGCAATTGTACGGTACGGTTCAATTGGTCGGAACGGTTCAGTCTGTGGGTAGATGTAAGGTCTTTCGAACGTACCATGAACGTACGTCACGGAATCATCGGTGAAAGTTTGCGGTCGCGGATCCGGGTAGGGATAAGCGGATGTCGGACACGACGGTGGCTAGAATGTTTAACACAGTTACACTATTCTTAAATGGCCGGTCCTTGTTCTTGCTTACCGTAATGCCAATGCACTCATTTTCCAACTTGTTGCACGTCTGTATCTGACACTGAAAGTAAAGGTCAGCGCGGTCGTGGAACTTATAGGCCATCGTTTCGACGTACGCTAAGTTCAGATTGGCGTCGTACTGTAAAGGCCCTAGAATTACCGGCGAGAACACAGGGCACCTGCAAAGAGAAAAGTGACTATTGTAAGTTCTCGGTTAAAAATCAAGCAGCTAGCCTTACCCCGTGGCATCGACGATTCGAATCGACTTTGTGTAGCCGTCGTTCACGAAGCAATTCCTAACCAGCATGCCTAGGTTCGCTAAAGTTCAAAACAGTTCGTTGTCATAAAATGTAAACTGATGGTATTCGTAGAATTACGGTTGTCACATTCCCAGCGATGGACTAACGTGTCGCCGACTTTCGTGTACTGCACAACAGGTCCATGCAGAGAGCCAGATCTAATGGTATATTGGCAGTTTGGCATGAGCATTGTGGCTGCCTCCAGTGATTCCGTAGGAATCATGCTAAAATTCACATCAAAGTTATTAATGTTTATAAATTCAAATGTGTTGTGCAAATTTTTGGCATTGCTGACATCATATACAAGCCGGAATAGATTCAAATCATACTGACCATACTGTAGCTAGTTCCAGATGAATGGCTGAGACAGAAAGCTTCAAAATGTAAAGTCCCTTCATTGCCTTATGCCGCAGAGGATCTCAATAACACGAAGAGTTTTGTGCATGAGAACAAATCCTGCCATCTTGGTTTTATGACAATTAATGGCGGTGACTGTGGAGTCAGACCCGACCTGCTAATAACATGCAGCATCAAAGTTTGCTTAAAACTGCTGCCATCATACCAATGGGATTTACATGTGAATCTGACTGCTGTTCAGACAGCACAGATTCATGCATACTGCAAAATCAAAAATCTAAAATTATCAGAAAATGTGAGAAGGCATACCAAACTCAGGCATCATTTTTAACATTCCCTCTAAAGGAATAAAAAGACCGAAACTAATATTCTCACTCTATGCCTACAAACCACGACAAAATGACAAGCGCCTGATCGACATTATGATTCGCAATGTGCTGGTCTCAAGTTGGTAAAATCAAAAAGTGGGTCGAAAAGCTAATGGTTGAAACTTATCAGGGGCGAACTGAATATGATTTACCTGGAATGCAACTGCTGTCATATTACAAGCCAATCCTGGCACAAGGATTGATCTGAGATCCTATCAGATATTATTAGAATAAGAGGAGATAGCAAACTGTGAGAGCATTCAACGGATGTCAGAATTCCTTGCGATACGGATAAGTAATCAAGGTCAAAGCAGCGCGAATTCCTCACCTGACATCCAATCTGGTGGTTACGGTCTTGTCCTGTTGAGAGTAGAAGCAACGCACGTTGTACGCCCTGTCTACCATTGTCAGGAAGTACTGATGGAAGCTAACAACCACAACAAGCACATAAGTCATTCCTTGTGGTTGAAGCTAAAGAAATACGTCGTTAGTTCAGGTAAGCATCACTAATGAAATTTAGTCTTTTACTTGTCTAATGCGGCGCATGCCACATTGAGGTATTCTTACGGTGAACGTGGCACCATTGTAAGTGTTGCCAAAGTACTCTTGTCTGCAGGTGGACTCAATGTACCTTCCCTTGACATAAATGTTCCCAGTAAACCTATTGCGAGTCTGAATCGATATGGACACGCTGTCTTCGCC